CTTTAAAGAATATGATAGATTCAAATAAATAGTAAATAAATTATATGAAGTTATACAATTTATTTTATATCATAATTTTGTATTATTATAAGTTTTATTATTTGTTTATTCAATTTTATTGATATTATACGTCAGCTCTACTCATATCATTGTGGGAAAATTATACTACCAATCCTTATTCCCCTTAAACGAAAAAGAGTGAATACATCTCATGTTACTGATTTACTGGTAGTCTCGAAACTCTACTTACATACGAAAAATAAGTAATATATTATTTTTTCCGGTAGATAGGAGGGTTTCAATGCCATTCCTGTTTGTATAGAGTAAATGATGACGCATGCAGATGCCTCTAGAAACTGACGAAGGATCCCGCTGAGGGTCTTAGGATTAGACTTAGGGACGTACTTAAAGTATAATTAATGGTGAAAAAGAGAAGGTATGATAATCAATGCTTATGCTATTTTAACGTAAATTATAAATACGGGCCATTAAGATCAGTTTATGATGATAAAAAAAGGATAACATATCAGATTCTGCAATCGTTATGTGCATGCTTAAGGAAGATACCTCGATAGTGAATATAGTCAGTCAGCGGCTTATAAGAAATGTGTGAAATCATTAGATCAGAAAATAATTAGTAATAATAATTTTTGATAAGTTTCGAGCTCATATGCTTGGGTGCTAACAGTGCACTTCAAGGAACAAATAAAGCTTTTGCTCCAGGTTAGTGGATCATTAAACGCCTATGAACTCGGGCAAAAGCATAATTTTTAAGAGTACATAATGCTTCATCCTCAAGAAAATTTTATTAACATCCTCAGGCAATCGCAATATGACCTAATTAACCTTCCATTAATAGTTAATAAATTACGAAAACGAATGCTTTGTAAGCGAGATTTGATCTATAATCAAAATATTTAGTTGCATGTACCAATGATTTCTTTGCTATTGAACAGCATGTAGTTTAAATAATTTCCCTAAAATTTACCGAGGAACGGTATTATTATTATGTTCCAAATATAGAGATTAGGGATATTTTGGATGCCTCTTTTATCAGAACAGGTGATAAATTGAGTAAACCAGCATAAGTTTTGCCTTCTTGCTAAATTTGGAATTTATAATTTTGTGACTGTTAGTAAAAATTTAGATAATAATTTTGATTAGCTTAGATAATAATAAGTTAAGAAAAATTCTTCGAATTATCAATTTAATATAACATCAGATTAATAAAGAATCAAATTTTGACTAGAGAATATCTGGAAAGAAATGGGAGGCAAAAAGGTTTATCTCTTCTATTTTTTATTAGTAACTAGGCTTTCGAGACCACCACTGATACACATAATTTTATTTATCGACAATCCCATCACAGAATGAGATATGGAGAAACGCTAGGCCTTCCTGGAAATTGGCATTTGCTCTTTGATCCAAGGACACTATGACAGAGAACATCTGACTAGGTGCTTCCTACTAGGTCGCCCTGACAACAAGATCAAGTTGCGACAACGAACCCAACCCACTTCTGTAAATCTAAGGGAAACTGCGACCATACTGGAGGCCACACCATTCTGGTCTTCATATCTTAGATTAAGGGCTCTTATTTCTAAACTATATTCTGCCTTGGACTAGAATACCCTCTGAGAAGCAGGAATCTGTGAAATTCAATACATTAGTAAGGCCTACTCATATCATTGGGGAAAATTTAATTATTAATTTATCAGCATAATGGGGGAATTACATCTCATATTATATTTTAGCTGTTTTATAGGCTTAACGAGGGACAGGAGCATGGGGAAGAGGAAGAGGAAGAGCCTCTGAGTCTTGCATGAATTCGAGTTCGATTAGAGCACTCAAACTTCACATGCCAAGGACCTTGCAGACACATTATATGCACCACCAGATAGCTAATAACTTCAGGATTGTAAGTTTGAATAGTTAGGAAAGAAACAGCTGCACCTACATCCACTTCCTTTTCATAGCTTAGCCTTCTTCATACACGAATGTATGTAGGGTATGAAATAGCCCAAAAAAACATGGGGTGCCTAATAATGATAGCAAAGTTAGGTAGAAGAAGTGAGTGTGTTTGCATCATGCCACCCCAAGTTTTCTTTGCTTGTTGTCTTTAATGCGTTCTTTCATAGGGGTTCTCGCTCTGACGATGTCATTTACATGACAAACTAAAGCATAGCACAAATTCTTCAGGGTCTCAGGTCAGTGAGCTGAGGACTTCTTTGCACAATCCGACATTCTTCACTCTTTCAAGACAATCTTTCTTCTGTTTCCGGTAAGATTAATTCATCAATTCTTTCTAACCAACATTTCCTCCGAAATAAAATTCAATTTCACAATATATTTCTTCAACACTCTTTTGCTAAATCCATTAACATAGCATAAATAACTCATAGTTAACTTTCCACCTGTATTAACGGCAATAATTGTATTTCATAATCAGTTTAATCTGATGGCCGCCCTAATTATACGTTGAGCAGCAACCCTAAAAGTTTGAGGCCCCTTTATCTCGTGTCAATTTTGGTGATTCCCTACAGCCACATTTGATTGATAAACCTAATATATTTTACAAGAAATTTTTTTCACCTACAGGATAATGGGGTGACAAATCAAGTCAAAATAATTAAAGGGCATAAGCGCAAACCATAGTAACCCCTGCTAGATACTGTCTAGCTTTTTTTCAAAATTTGCAGTAATTGAAGAGCATATCACAGTGTCCAGTAGAACCACTTTAATACTCCACTTTCTCATCAGTTTGTGCGGAGGCATAGATGAAATAAGACATTTTGCCACCAATTCCTGAATTCTTTTAAACCAAATTTTTATTCGAAATTACGAGTCGCGTGCATAAGGAATTCATTGAAACACAATCTTTTTTATATTGACAAGTCTGTGGTAGAACTGCTCTATTTTCAGCTACTTTTTTATTTGACTCAAGTGAAGACTTAATTTTAGCATTGAGTTCCCATCTACCAAATATCCCAAAATACAGTTCTATTTCGCAACCATTAGCAGAAATCGAACCATCGTCGAGCCAGTTAATACACAAGCCTATATCAATTCTCTATATTTGTTGAAGAATTAATAAATATATACAGAAGATTCGAAGGACAAATGATGGAAACGGAACTGCTTAAGCCTAAACATCACCAACAATCTTATGGGATTCTTTACATTGAGAATAATCTTTCCTATACTAAGAGAAGGTGTGTTTCGAATAATTTTCTGAGATAAGATTGTTGTGAAGGCTTTCATTTCGTATGAAGAGCTTTGTAGCTTCCTTGACTAAATGTTATCTTGCAGCTTTTTGCAGGAATGAGGCCCAGCTCTGATGATATTCGTCACATGATGAACAAAAGTTCAAAACGTCATCGTCCAAAACGTTGGATGATGTATTGTGGACTGCATCAGCCTGAACATCGTAGTAAGGCAAACGGCTGCCATACAGTGAAAATCACTTGGCGCCTTTTGGTGAGATTCACCTACCTCATAATGCACTTTCATACAAAATAAAAATCTTCACAGTAATCATGCAGCAAAACTGGGTTTCGAACAATCCTTTAATAGATTCATGTTGAAGTACCTTTTATTTCGTTTGAAGAGGTGAGTGGAAGGGATTCGTAAGTTGGCTTCATCGGAGGCTGTAGAGGGTTTGCCACCGGTGAAACCAACTTACGAATTCCTTCCATTCACCTCTTCAAACGAAATGAAAGTTATTTCAACTTCACAGTAATCGTTTCTATCCAAAACAATGTGTTTATGGTCACGTGGATTACGGCATATCATATCTTTCAGATTTAGAATCCAGCTAAAAGTGCTGAATAGACAAGTAAGAGTGCCTAAAAATGCTAGCTAACCTTGACAAAAATAACCCCTTAGAATACATGATATAGTGACCCTTATTGCAAAGATCAAGCCTGTTGTTGAATTTATCGTGTACAGATTTGCCATCGCTCCAGAATGAAACCAGGTATAAGTGATGTAATTTAACATTTTCTTAAAAGAAATTTTAGGCAAATGAATTTTACAGGTTTTTTCCATCTCAGTAGCCAACTGCTCGTTTTTTCTTAATGATAACATACCCTCTAGGCCGGAAGAATAAACTCATTTTCTGGCCATCATAAACTCATTTTCGTATTGGAGTAGAGTCTCGAGACTACCAGTAAATTATTAATATGAGATGTATTTACCCTATTTCGTCTAAGGTAATGAAGGACTGGTAGTAGAATTTTCCCACAATGATATTGAGTTGAGCAGACGTTTCCATTAAATTTCACATAGCCTTGTTTTCCCAAAAGTTGTTCTCATCCACGGTGGACTGCAGGTCGAAACCTTGTTCTCCAGACTGGAAGACTGCTCTTGCCTCCTGGTTAATAGCAAGGGAATATCGCGAAGGGCAGCTGGCTTATTCGTACGTAAAGTTGTGAGTTGTACTTTTGTACAATTTGTCGAT